TGTTGTAAATTAGGCCGTTAGTTTTCTTGTATGAATTGAATCACATTTGCGATGTCTGGGTTTTTTAAAGCCGGCTCGTGGATTTTTCTCATTATTCAAGGCTGTACGATGGCCTATAATTACTTACTACAACTTCATATTGATTCTGGCTAATACTTTAATAATTGACAATCATACATTTTTTTTTTTTTTGTACCACACGTGCTCCTATGAATTTAAAACGCTCTAGCATCCAATTGTTAAATAAAGTGTGATCAGTATAAACATAGAAATCCGATAAAAAAAAACATTTCAATAAAATTATGAATTTTGACAATTATGACAATTGAAAAATAATTTTAGAATTTCAGAAATTACCAAAAGGGTTACTATTTCTTCTACGTTTAGGATAAATATAACTGCTTAGTTCTTCATATTGTCCGACAAATCAGTAAAATACTAGGTAGTTATATTATGTATTAACGTTTTACAGAATTAAATAATATGTGTTTCTACATTCCATGCTAACCTGTTAAAGAAAAGTGAGTACACGAACATATGATAATAGTATTTCATTTCTCCTTCTTGCACTTTAATAGGCACCTACTACATGTATGTATTAACTTATCTAAAATACACAAAATCCTGTATAAGTTTGTTTGATCTCATCTTCAAAGTGCGTATTCTACATTACCTTTTTCCTACTGAATTGCTCTTTAGATAACTATCGCAGAACTTATAATTCCAGTTTGTTAAATCGCATATAAAAATTGGGGAACATTAAATGCTGAACAAATGATATCAATGGGACTAACACTAAGTGGTATCAACCCAGTGCTAGAAGAAATAACACTTTATGTGATTGGCGCATTGTACGTTTTGTCTCTTGTTATTTTATTTAGTTGTTTTTGTGTTTAGTACCACAATGATGACTCAATCTCTAATAAACTTGTTTGTAGGTTTTGTTCTAATGCTGTGTTGTTACATCACTGTTACAACACAGGAATATAAGGGCTGATTTAAGCAACTTCTTACAAGTTTAGCTCATCCACATTCCTTATGTGTTAGTCCGAAATTACGACAAAATAGTGAAGTGTTTCTCCCTTGCTGTTGTCTGTCATTATTGTTTCTCGTTAAATGTATTATTTTAACCAGTTTGTTAATTTATTTTACATATATTGTCTTAGCCGTATTTGTTTTAACTTTTCAGAGCTCTCTGTTTTTAATGCTTTTCAACTTTGTATTTGCTGTGGTCGTCGATCTATTTTGATTCGGGCGCCACTTAAGAGTCTGTTGTAGACACCACGAGGGTCACAAGCCTGATATCTATCTTAGAGTTTAATTACCTTTCAATATGTTACGTTACCAACGGTCTACTGGATAAATGATCAGCTCATTAAATGACTAGCGGGAACGTTGAACCACCAATTTGGAAAAAAATAGTATATTGGGTAAGGAATAACACTTGCCCTTCAATACATTATCTACGGCACATCTGATAATTATTGAAATCATACATTTTGGTATGGTAAGCATGTTATGGTTGTCTATGAACATAAACAGCTAGTCTTGTTTCAACTCGGAGTTGGCCATTTTGAAGCTATCAAAAGTATAACAAAATAAAATATAAAAAGACAAAGACAAATCACACGGGCCACCCCGTCTGAATCCGCCAATGCAAAGTCCTAGATACAAACTTTAAACTTCAACTAGAATAATTGGTGCATTTTCAAATGATAACTTTTAAGCTTTAGTCGATATTTATCGATTAATTTAATACTTTTGTCAAGCCCTACACAATGGTTCAGTTATCTTTTACATTTTTGATTTTATAGCGAATATTATGTATAACGTTGAATCTGTGCACTTTAACTATACTGAACCCTTAAAGAAACATCGGATTTCTTTATAACGTTGATACATTGTCAAATATGGATGTAAATCTAATTTAAATTAGCAACCTGAACTGCAAACAAACCATCGGCACCTATCAACGACAAATAAATGCTGCAACCGCCCGTCTTAGAGATGCAACAATATGATATGACATCGTCCGGCCTGGGTCCTGTCCAGACTGCTCTTCCCCACCGCGAAAGATTGCTGTAGACTTTACAGCGTCAGAACTTGTGCCATCAGCAATGGATGACCGTGATTATCTCAGATAAAAGCAGATATTGCATTGTAACTAAGGATGGCAAGACAAGAGGCTGGCAAAGAGGAAACACATAAACAGCTGACTGTGATATTGAGTTATATAATTAAGTTTTGTTCCAATGTTTTGCCGTATGTTTTGGTTTTACAATAAATATATGCGTTTCGGCATGATAGAGCCCATGCACACATCACTACATCAACGAGAAACGATTTGCAGCACGATAACATTGTTGTCATGCCATTTGTTGCCCTTATTACATATTGTGATCCTATTGAACATATTCAGAATGAATTGCAAAAAAAGCAGCTAGAACGTAGAACAACCAAGATCAAAACTGATGATAAACTAAGGACGACCTTACTTGAGAGTGTTGTCCGTTTTTTCAATAATATTCAACATCCGCTTATACAGATCATGCATAAGTGCGTCTATACTATCATCGCCCGTGCATGTATTACCCTTTATTGACCTAAGTTATATATGTTAAACGAATCTGCAATAAGTTTGTCAACTTATCATTCAACAACATGCTGCATACACCGAGGAGTGTAATTCATGCGCTTTAATTAATATTAAATTTATTTGTTGTAAATTTCAAAACTTAAAATGTTGTGATATTCTGATTTATTATGCGCGTTTCATTTTCGGTCCAGTATATGAATGCTTACGTCATCAGGTAACTTATACCCGATCTTTATACACTATGAATGTTTTAACGTATATCGATCAGTACTGTATTGAGTGGCATTTTAGTCTGTCATTTGCGGTAAGTATTTAAAAACATATGATGTATCAAATTTAAAATAAAGTTGAATATATTTTAAACAAATGAATAATAAGTTTTTACAATACAAAAATGTACGTGTACTTTCTTGTTATAGAAAATCTGTTATCTTATCAAAATCTACAGAAATAGCCTATTACTGAATTAATTTATACCCGTACTCTATTTTATGTACTTAAAATTCCCGTATTCCTTTTGGGATGTATTAGAAAAACCCATGGTTTTCTTAACCTTATATAATTCAAATATTTCTATTTTTTTGTTTTGTCATTAAAAGATTTTATAGTATTTGATTTAAGCTTTCTGTTCGGTGTGAGCAAAGGTTCCGTGTTAAAGGCTTTTAACATAACGTTTTATATATTTTGACTTGGATATAGAGTTGTCTCATTAGCACTCATACCAAATCGTCTTATGTATATAAACACTTAAAATCCCTCGAAATTGGTAACTTTAATCTGTTATAGGCTAGTTTGAAACCCATATGATAGAATTACATAAAATTACCACGGCGGAGTGAAATTCATGACGGTCATTAGTTATCTCAAATAAAAGGACTACATTTTTTCTGACTTTAGAAAACTCAAATTTTGAAATCCAACTTTCGACTCTAATTTAAAATAACAAGACAAAATATCGTCATATATATTTAGGATATATTTCAAACCGATAGATAGTTTTGGTAAAGATATTAAATAGCTATGGAACCCTAACCTACTTTTTTAAAAGATTATCCGAAAATTAACTTTGAAGTGCCGTTTATATTTTGTTTCTCAATTCCTCAGAAAAATATTTGTTGAAAGTATTATAGTTTAATAGTTTGGTCAATTCATAGTATTGATCTACAAAATAAAGTGTTATTTTTGGAGCATTTATGCAAATCTCAAGTTCGAAATAAAATCATGACCTTTTTAGAAATATGTAATCAATCCGTCCATACGTATATGTATACATATGAAACACAAAAACAAGAATCCCCCAAGATCCCGAATCACTTACTTAGTAAAAGGTGAACCTCCTAACTGACTTTAAAAATTTCTTTCAGTTTTTTTCAGTTTAATTTTTTTTACTCAAACTGTTTTCAAGGTATAAATATTATTAGAAACTCTGGCAGTTTATTTAATTTTTTTTTTCGTTTTTGAAATTCCTGTGCAATAACGGAATTCAAACTTCGACAAATAAAAAACAAGAACGGGTGGATGTTTTACTTTTTTTTTAGACAAAATTGGAGTTTGACATGAATCGCATTTTGACAGATTGTAAAATTTCTTCTTCTTTATTCATACCCCAAAAATAACCTTTATATATTTACAATAATAAAAAAAACACAATGACAGCGATTTTACTGTAAATATCAGATAATATTTCACAAACTTTAGAAAGTTGCACTAGCGAAATATAAATCGTGGAGAAATCCCCTTCTTTTTCGGGAAAATTTACGTGTAACATTTTATTTCAGCAATATGGTAATAAAACATCTGATTTGTGTACTTGTTTGTTTTTTTATTGACGTGGGATGTGAACGGTTATTTGAATACATAATGTTGCTTTAGCCTTAAATGTTGAAGTAAAACTTCAGGTAGAAAATACGAAGCACAGTGTTCATAAATCGTTCTCACAAATTGCGATTTTTGATTATGTATTTCTATTTATTAATATTACACCTATACTTTGCGTCCTTTTCAATTATATCAACTAATTGAGTTTGTATGTTTCAACGTTTAGGCTTCGAGCATCACGGAAGACACATTGATTGTCGAAATTCGAAATTTCCGGTCTATATCAACAAAACAACGGTAAAAAGTATATAATCTGGGTCGGGTTGTTGTCTCTTTGACACATTCCCCATTACCATTCTCAATTTTATTGATATCTTGTATGTAATGCGGATTCTAAAGACACAACTCATATTCTTAACCAAAATCTTTATAAGAATCAAATAATTTAGTAAGGCTTTTAAGTAATTTGATGCAAATTTCTAATTAAAGGATATGTGTATTTCAAAGCCCCAAATATTCAAGTAAATTCATTACATATTGGCCTTTTAGTCTAGTGATAATTCATGCACTGTTTCATTTCAGAAATATGACAAATACACAACTTACTCTCCTTGTTGTGTGTTTTCTTCTGACGATGGAAGTAAACGGACAGTTGAAAACCACGTGTTACTTTAATACAAAATGTCGATGTAAAGCTTCTAATGAAACGTATGTCGAGGTTGATTGTTCAAAACTTAGCTTAAATGATATCCCGAAACTGCCAGAAAACGTGAGCAGTGTTGATTTAAGCAACAACAATATATCTGATGTACAGGAATATCATTTTAAGGATAACAATGCTTTAAGTGAAATTAACCTTTCACAAAACAAATTACACTTTCTCAAAAAGGAAATGTTTTATGGTCTGAATAGTGTTTCAAAGCTTCAGATGAACAACAATAATATTACAAAAACAACCAAAGATGTGTTTTTATATCTACGAACATTATCATATTTAGATGTTAAGAAGAACAGTATCAGCTGGAGCAATCACAACGTTACATTTCCTCCATCTTTACTCACATTGAAGATTGATTACAATTCGTCTCAAGAAAACTTCCCTGAAATGCCTCATTTACAGACTCTGGACGTCTCTGGAACATCTGGGGACTGCTACATACACATCGTGAAACCGGACACCTTTAGATTTGTACCATCAATATATGAATTATATATTTCTGCTTGTAAAGTAAATTACGTGTACAATGGTTCATTTAGATTTATGAGAAACTTATCAACTTTAGATATATCTTTTAACAGATGTCTTAAGTTTGATGGATTACAAAATGTAACAATTGAACTTCCATTCACGTCTATAAAAGTTCTGAAATTTAATAAAATTCATAAAACATTTCAAATGAATACAAAAATTTTAAAACAACATTTGTCGCACTTAAAATATACAAACTTGGAAGAAATTCATGGTGACAGCAATAGAATCCAGCTCATAGAAGCTGGAGCTGTAGGACAACTTCCATCTTCCATTCGAAAACTCTTTGTGTCCGACAATGAATTTTCGTATGGACAATATGTTTCAGAATTTATATTTACGAAAATTGAATTTGTAAATGCGTCGTTTCTGTTCAGTTCGCGAAGTAACAATGGAGAAGAAGAAAAATGCGAGCGTTCTAATAAATCATGTTGTAATCAGGTTTGTGAACATGTTTATACACCTGACGAAACAATATCTCGATTTGAAACTACTTGGAAATTCTTGCCAATTCCTCGAAACCTGAAAACGGTATTTTACAAAGACTGCTTTCTTCGCTATGAAATACCACAGTATACAGTTTCCGAGAATATAGTAAAGTATGTAGATTTAAGTCATAATATTTTCTATTCATGGATAGGCCCTCTTCTTACATTCAATCATTTGCATTTTTTAGATTTATCTAATAACATATGCTCGAATGTGTCAAAGGTATTTTTTAAAAGCGTTCCGAATGTGACAACATTACTTGCACAAAATAATCTACTTGGATTTGTTCTGCCCGATGACACTGAAGGTGAAATAATGCATCATATGCCAGCCCTACAATTTGTTAATTTTGCAGAAAATAGGATCCCAAGTTTACCATATAATTTTTTTAAGTCTCAGGTGAATTTGATAGACATAAAATTAGGAGGAAATATGATGGAAAACATTACCTTCCAAATAAATCATATGAAACAATTGTCAAATTTAGACCTTTCAAATAACCGAATTTCTACTTTAGATGAATATGCTCGTGATCATTTGGAAGAAGTTTTAAAAATGAAAAACAATTTAACCATTGATATAAGTGGGAATCCGTTAAAATGTAATTGCGATGCAACAGAATTTATAAATTGGATGTCAACGACGCAAATCAAATTTCACAATATAAATAAAACCTACTGTCTGATGTCTAATGGGGTCCAAGAATCATTATGGAAATCAAACAGAATTTATGAGAAGCTAAAGATGGAATGCTCGTCGTATGCGTCATTGATTGTTGGCACTGTAGCATCATTAGTCGTTTTTCTGTTTGTTTTAATTTGGGGCATTTGTTACCGCAATAGGTGGCGTTTGCGATATATGTATTACATGGTAAAAAATAAATATCAAGCGCAAAATAAAGAAAAACCCGACAATGAGAGCCAATATGAGTACGATGCTTTTGTATCCTACGACAACAACGATAGAATTTTCGTTCATGACAAACTTTTAAATCGTCTTGAAAGCCAGGCTGGATTGAAGCTGTGTATCCATAAAAGAGATTTTCTACCTGGAAATGACATTGCGGGAAACATCACATCTGCAATTCACAACAGCCGAAAAGTGGTCATCGTGATGTCACATAATTATCTGGATTCGTACTGGTGTATGTTTGAGTACAACATGGCAAATGTGGAAAGCATTTATTCCAGAAATAAGGAAAATATATTATTTCTAGTATTTCTAGAGCAAGTGGCACCAAAAGATTTACCAATGATGGTTTTAGAATTAGTTCAATCCCACTCTTACATCGAATACCCAAACGATGAATTTGGTGACACAGTGTTTTGGAATAAGTTAAGGGAAGTGTTATCGCAGTAACCCTTTTCTCTTTCTTCTCACGATTAACTAAAATACTAAATATATACATGGTTTATGGCATACTTGCACGTGTATTTATTTTATGCTTTTATCCATTTAAGCTTTGTAGCAATTAACAATTACAGTCTAGGATATTCATTTTTTGCAGTAGTCTGATGCACGAAGTCTGGATGCCAATTTGAATAAAATTTGCAATATGCATTAAAGCAATGTCGATTTCTTTAAAACACAAAGATAACAAAATAGAGATTAAAAAAGGAGATTTTCTTAAAGCGGCAGTATAAATACAATGTACTTTCATTGACGAAATAAAAAACTATTTGCATTCGATATGACATATTATGAATTCAGTATTTTCGATTGATATCAATTTTCGTGTATGTTATTGGTATAGGTTCATCATGAATTAAACTTTTCAACGTGATTTAAATTTATCATAGGATTGTATGCAAACTTTTGGAAAACAACGAAATCCACTATCAACGAAAATATGTTCTTCCTCAATCCACGAAAATTTTCACAATCGAAAATTGGTACTCATGAATACAAAAGAATCCACAATAATATGCTATAGGAAAATAGTTCAGGAAGTGCTTTTCGTTCAGTTTCTGAACTCGTTTATTTTTTAATATGTTTCGATAAAGTATGTTGATACTAAAGTAATTCATTTGACATCAATATTTTTTTTAAATCTAAATAGATCTTATTAATCTAATGAACAATTAATGTGATAACCTCTAAATACTAATATCAATAATATAATTTACAGTGATTGCAGGAATAAATACTGTATTCATTATCGAATATTTGATATTCACAAAATTTGTAGAATACTAACTTGAGCTTCTATGGAATTTGTAATGAACGTTTTATAGCTTATATGCCATGTCAATAAATTAGACAAATTGGACTCCAGAATTTACTTATATAGAAATACGAAGATGTGGTATGAGTGCCAATGAGACAACGCTCTAATCTATATAAAAAAGCAAGAAACGAGAAACACCTAAGAACCACATCAACAAACGACAACCACTGAAACTGGTTCATAACTTGGACAGGTGAAAACACATGCAGCGGGTTTAAACGTTTTAACGAGCGCCAACCTTGACTCTAACCTGAAATAAAAGTGTAACATTACAACATAGAAAGACAGTTATAAAATATCAATTGAAATGGCTTAACTCAAAAAGACACATTAACAAAAAAAAGTAAACATACACTGAACGAATAAATTTGATCTATGACACAATGTCAGAAAGACAACTATAACCTTGGACAAAATGGTGTTAAATAAAATAACGCGCACAGGTAAATTTAAATATAATAATTTTGTTGCTATGTTTACTTGAACAATATTTTTGTAATATTGAATTTATATGACACAGGATGCATTGTAGTGTGCTGGAATGTGATCTTATTTGTTATTTTTTTCTATCTTTCAATCGACCATTTTACTATACAAATACAGGGGGGAAAATAACACTAAGCAATATACGTAAATAATATTACGGTATAGTGTACGGGTACCATCTTTTTTGCGAACGAACGGTTATATTTAAATTCTTATTTACGTTACAGTTTAAGTAGAATGACAAAAAAAAAAGATATTTTCAACTTTACTGGACAATCCCTTACTGCAGAATAAACCATGCATCAATGTTTAAATGACTTTTTTTTCACTCGGTCGTAGACTCTAAAAAATAGCGGAGAACTCTTGCATATGAGATTAAAGATCGAAAACTGAGTTTTCTGATGAAGGATAAAAAAACATGAAATAATATTAATGTTTTATAAAATACTGGAAATCCTCACATTCTGCTGCTGCATTTGTCAGTAGTTTATGATTTTCATGACAAAAGTTGACGTCATGTAAATGTAAAATGACGTCAATTCAAATCCTAAGTTTCTGGTCATAGTACATGATAATAACAGAAAAGCTATCGTTTTACATTTTTGTAATAATACTACGTGTATTGTGTTGTCATAAACCTCGCCATAAGGCCTCGTCAAGCAGTAAAATATGTAGTTTATAAAACAAATTAATTCATGAACATTTTAACATGACTTAAGCATAATCAATGAAGAGCATATGATGTCTATAAATTCGATACTATGATTTGTCCAGATGTCCTTATAATTTTGGTTACCTTTTAGTTATATAAAGACACTGTGTCAGCATGATAATTCCCCCGTGTACTTTTGGAGTGTTTTTACACGTTCATCAAGTAAATATACGAATATGTCCGTGTTATTATTCGGTAAGCTGTTGTGTATGATGATCGGAATTATCGTTTCGCGTTTTCGGGATTTCGGTGATATTTCTAAACGCGGAAATTCTTATTCATGAAACAAAGAAAACAAGAAGCAAAAAAAAAAAAAACGCGAAAAAGAATGTTTTTTCCGTCTGCGATTAAGGTTTCTCTGTTGGTGTTTTTGTGTTACAAGTGATTAAATAAACTGAAACGTGAAGTATGTATGACAAAAAGTTTAGAACTTTAATTACACGAATGAAACATAGCCAATTCAAGGCCGTATCAAATTGAGCTAAACTCGGCGTGGTATTTGTGTCCTCAACACTTAAATTAAACTCTTTTCAAGTTCCAATTTATGGAAATCAATGTTTGCATGTAAATTAAATCCGGTTTTGATTACATGCAGTCAATAGTCAATGAAGACCTTGTGCGGGTTAAGTGTACATAAATAAAGGCAACAGTAGTATACATCTGTTCAACTAGACATTTAAGAACGTGATTTGTTGTAAGCATATTCAAGAAAGAAAACATATTGAATAAAATATGAATTACGTTTCATTCCAATTTATATGTCCAAAATTAAATATTGCTCTGACAGTTATTAAACATAGACACGTTTGCATACCATTGGAGGGACCGACTATTTGACTTTTTGGTAGGGTTAGGAGGTGGGGCTGGGGAAGGAGATTTTTTGCAGATTGAATGTTTATTCTACAACTAATGATTGTACGAGTTATAAATTTCACTCTATTTTCAATTTGGACACAACTTTTTCTTGCATTGTTCCGCATTTTGTAGGACAGAATTTTTCATATATATTCTGTTATAGGCAAGGTTATTTTTTTTTATCACCAGGCCAGAATAATTATTTTTAAAGTCGTTGTGCACCCCTTTCCTCCAACCAAATGTCAAATATTCATCCAATGACTAACCCTAATTTAAACTCAGAGCTGTCATTATGTAAACATAATTCGATTGAAAAGTCAACTCAAATTTGAGTGGACTCTCACACGAACGGAATATATAAATTGATGACACCAGAACTATGTGCAGAACCAATTAAATAGTATGTGCAGGGAAACACAATTATTGGAAGACATGAACGTAAAGGTAATTCAAACCAGTGAAAAGATGAGAATAGATTTGATGTCAAAACAATGTCCATTATATGAAAATCATTGTAAACATGTTTACAGTATGCTTCGTTTGATGTGAATACGGCCAAATACACTCGATATTCAATGTTGATGCACAAGTATTAAAACATTAACTTGCGAGGTGATAGTGCTAAAAGTTACAAATAAATCAATCTTTCAAGTAACGGTTAGTCTACGAAAAGGTACACACTATGAAACTTAGAGCGAGTGACTTACCTCGAGCACCTAATTTCATAGTGTATACCATTTCATTGACTATCAATTTTATCACACATGTATTACCACTGATGTTTCAACTGATCGGGTGGAGCTTACGTTTTAATTTGCAAAAGGACAGTCTATTTGAAGATGTGTGTTATTATTATTACTGATTTCTAATCACCTATCAGTGTCAAAAAACGGATATACAAAAGAACTAAAAAGTGTATGATATGGGATGAATAGAATAGTTTAAAATTTATAAATTTATGAAAAAAAAAGGAAATCAATAAGGTCGAAGTATCATTTGTAACTTATCGCTGTGCACTCGTCGCCCCCAACAAAATAAAATGCATCGGAATAAAAAAAAGTACATCAAGATGTTATAGAATAACGAAGTATGCATATTTTGCAACTGCCGTCGTCATAGTTATACTTTCATATCCGCAATTTCCCAAAAATGACAATTTTTACATGTTTTTAAACTCCGTTTTACAAGAAAACCAAACGGCTACGTCTCACTATTGATTTTGCAAATACACATATAAAATTTACATATTTTAACCGGATCAATGACCATAACTGGATACTTCATTGATGAGTTTATCCTACAGCCCTTGGATGGTGTAAACTTCCCAAAAAAACGTGTATTTTGTAATGGTGTATGGCATATGGTGCAATGGTAGAAGGTGTATGGTGCTATGGTGTATGGTGTAAGGGGAATGGTGTTATGGTGTAACGTGCTATCGGGAATGGTGTGAATGAATGGTGTACGACATTTAAAACTATGTAAAATATTGATAAGAACTGACGTTTAATTTTATACATTAATTTACAATATTGTGATCAAAATTCGTTTTTTAAAACAAATAAATAATTTTGTAGTCGCACGCATTCTTTGAAATTAAATTGCATGATGGTGTAATGTGTAAGATGTATGGTGCAAAAGTGTAACGTGTATGGTGTAATGGCACAGGGTGTATGGTGTAATGGGGTATGGTGAATGATGTAATGGTGAATGGTGTAAGTGGGAAGTTTCCACCATCCAAGGACTGCAAAACACCTGTCTATAGATAGACTAGTCTATGATAGGGGAACCGTTTAAACGCCACCAAGTCAAGTGAAATAAATCAAGTTATACAACTAGAAAAATCTAATAATTGATTTATTGATAGTTTGTTTTGGTGACAACTTGTTTTACATGGGTTGTGAAAGAGAGTTCATAAACCAAGTTTTATTTTATGTAAATTTACTAGTTTCATAACTGTCATATTTGTTCAATTTGTGACATAACATGATCTTGAGTTTATAAATGCAGCAAACACGAATTTGGAGCTTAAAAACAGTTTATATATTATTCAAACATGAAAACCGACGATTTTAAAAGACTTTTAACTCTCGAACAAATATATGATAGC